TCCTTAGCCTATGTAATGCCTCTGGGTGATCTAAGAGTAGTGACATAGCCCATTCTATAGCAGCTGCTGAGGTCTCTGTTCCTGCCACAAACAGTACCTAGACAATAGGAGGTACTTCTGTTAGCCAAATTATTAGCCAAATCTGATTATGATGTCAAGCTCTTCTAGTTAATTGTTTCTGAAACTATTCCAGTTACTTATGAAAAGCAAAATGCAGCCACAAATTTTGTAATAACCACCACCATAAGGGGATAACCTTTATTTCACACAGGCCTCCGAGCTTAAGAAACTTGATTCCTACTGAAGGCAGAATCAGCAGAAGTCACCTTACTTGAAATGGGAATTACAGTTTGGACATCAATCCTAAATTGAGGTCTAGGTTGTTACTTGTTATGACTCCAATTGAGTCTCATGTCATTGAGTTAAAGCTTAACTTGTAGGATTATAAAGACTTGAACTCTTCCTTTACAATTTAATTTTAAGGGGTTGTAAAATATTATGGTATGTTCTCTACTTCTCTTTACTGTTTTCAGTTTTTAATTTTTGAAAACACTAAAAACGTGTTTACTGTCTATTTTCCGAAACAAATTTTCAAAAACAAGTTGAAAATTCACAAAGAAAAAGGAAAACGCCAAAAATGTCATTTCGGCTGCTTTCAGTTAAAATCAAGCCAAAATTTCATTTTTTTTTATTTTCGAAAATAATTTTTCAAAATGACTAAGCCCCTGTTTGGCCCCCATTACATTAAATTACAATACATTAAATTTTTTTTTCTCTTCATTACAACCACATATTTATCAAATAAAATAATATTATACACAAATCTAAAACTATTCATTACTTTTCCACCACACATTTTCCCATCAATCACTATTTCAAAAATTTTCAACCCTAAAAAATGCCAAATAATGGGGGCCAAACAGGGGCTAAAAGTACGCATTTTCAATAATCTCAAAATGAATTCATAATTCAAAATTAAAAACTGAAACATGAAAAGAACAACCCCTTACCCCCGTTTGGCACCCATTTTTTTCTCATTCTCATTTTTTTTCTCTTTCTTCATTTCAGCCACACATTCTATCAATAAAATAATATTACACATAAACCTAAAAATTCTCCTTACTTTTTAACCACGCATTCTTCCATCAATCACTGCTCAAAAACACATTTTTCTACTAAAATGGGTGTCAAAAATCTTTTCATAAAACTATATGCTGATATGACCCAAAAATATCCAAGTTTGCTTGTGAAAAGTATGCTGATGGGACCGTAGACTTAATGGAAGATATCTGATAAAAGACTAGGTAACAAAAAACAAAAGTT